TCCCCCCTGGCGCGCTCCGCGCGCCAGGGAAGGGGGCCCAGCGCGGATCCAAAAAATCCGCGCGGACCTCCGAGTTGTTATATGCTTATGCCACGTTTTGGTCCCCTATATTGGTAGAGTGCCGATCCGATCCTCCCTACGATTCGGGAAAATGCAGACATGGGTTGCGGCTCTCGTGGATTGGCGACAGGCCCCGCTTTCATACCGAAGCGGCGCGCATCTTTCAGGAGGGAAAGGAACACACACAGACACAATGAATCGTCGATTCCCCAGAAAATATAGAAAAATGTGGTAAGTAAGGGGAGGAGGAAGACGAAGACCAACAAAAATATGGGAACATATGGGGATTGTTTTTTCGTGAGTCTATTTATTGAATCGCTTCGCTCTTTCCGCCAGCCCTGGAGCCCTCTTTAGGGCTTCTTGGGGGCCTCTTGGGGACCTCGTGGGAGTTTCTTGAGGCTCCTTGGCGGCGTCTTGGGGGCCCCCAGGGCCTCTTGGGGGGGCTCTTGTGGGCCTCTTGGGGCGGGAGGGGGGGTAGTCGATTGCGGCTCCCCCCTCGGAGGCCACGATCCTCGTGAGGGGTGTCGAGAAATTGCCCAGTCTGGGGTCTCCTCCCGGGACTTGCCCGGGGTACTTTTCGCCCCAGGACCCCCAGGGGCCGCCCCGCGTGCGCGAATTGGAAATATTGTCAACGAGTTACCGGAGATCTTGGCACGCCTCTGGCCCGTTGGGCCGGCGACTTTGTGTGTCCTGGGGCCCGTTGGCCGTGAAATTCAGAAAATAGGGGAACATGTGGGAAGTGGGGGGGGGGGAAGGCGAAAACCCCGAAAATATGGGAATATATGGGGGATATTCTCCGACCCTGGATACCTCGACCCTCGAGGGAGACGGGATGCGTGATAAGACGTCGGAGGTAAGCGAAGACGTGGCGGAGGAGGAGGAAGGGGAGGAGGGGGAGGAGGGGGAGGAGGGGGAGGAGGAATCTTTTTTTATGTGTGTGAGTATTTATCTGTGTGTCCTGGGGCCCCTGCAATCTTCGCCAGATCGGGCGGCACCAGCACCAGCGCCGCACGTGCCGTGGAGCTGGCGCCCACGCGCCGGACCCGCAGATCCCCTACTCTGCGCCGGCGCGTGCCCCCCACGACCCCCGACGTCGTGCTCTGCTCTACCCTTCAGTCGGGCCTGTCCCTCTGCAGGAGGAGTACGGAGAAAGAGTCAAGACAAAAAGTGTGGGGACGAGTTGTGCTGACCACTGTGGACAAGTTTGGAGTGTTTATCCGTGTGTCCTGGGGCCCCTTCCGTCTTTGCCAGATCGGGCGGGGCACCAGCGCCGCACGTGCCGTGGAGCTGGCGCCCACGCGCCAGGCCCGCAGAGCCCCCACTCTGCGCCGGCGCGTGCCCCCCCGACGACCCCCGCCGCCGTGCCCTGCTCTGCCCTGACGTCTCGGGCGAAGAGAACTACACACGTGCACCGATCCTGGCCAGGCCCATCCTTGGCCCAGGATCGGTGCAGATACCTTCCTGGCCAAGGTAGAGGGCGTATGCACCGATTCTGGGCTCAGGATGGGCCTGGCCAGAATCGGTGTATGTGCATAGTTCTCTCTCTTCTAAAGTCGGGCCTGTACCTCTACAGGAGGAATACCGAAAAAGAGTCCAAAAACAAGTATGGGGACGATTTGTGTTGACCGTCGTTGACAAGTTTGGAGTATGCTTGACTATTGCTTATGTTTCGTCCAAGATCCGCCTGTAGGGGGTCATTCCCGGCCTACCTCTACCCGCACCTCCCCGGAGCTCGTGGACCCCATCACAGGGACTGGTCTCTTTGGCCTCAGTCTCGGGTGGACGGCAACGGGGGGGACGGTGCGTGGGGGAGCCGGGGATTGCAAGCGAGTTGCCCTTTTGAGAAGCCCCCGAGTGGCCCCGAGGCTGCCACCGCGGGCCAGGGTGGTGCACCGAGAGGGGCTCGTGTCTTCGCCCCCCGTGTGTTGCCCCGCCGTCGGCGAACACCCGGAAGTCGTTTTGACGGTCCGGGTCCCGGGGCCAAGAGACGCACGTGGATTCAAGAGACGGGGGTCAATGCAAACGGGGGTCAGCCAGGGCTCAGGATCCTGCAGAATCCCCTCTGGCTGACCCGGGCTAGGGAGCCGCTCGTGGCCGCGAGGCGGCCGCGCATATATTGGATGACCCGGGCTTGCGAAGCCCTGCGTTGCAGTTATTTTTCTTGCATTGCAGTTTTTTGGTTTCTTGCTGACCCGGGTCTGATTGACCCGGGCTAGCAGATCCTCGACGGATGCCAAGGTCGACGTGCAAGTCCGTCCGGGCTGTGTCAAGGCGTCTGAGGTCAGGAGGGTGCAGCAGACAAGCACATCGAGTTGTCGATCCCCCGGAAAGCATGGGAGACCCTGCAGATGGAGCGGAAAACGAAATCCAAGAACATCTGGGAAATTTGCCAGCCTGGAACATATCCCTATCCCTATGCTGGGCACTTCCTCGTCACGATGCCAATCTTAGGGATTCCCTTAATTTTTGAGGGCGAATCCCTAAGATTGTCCTCGCCTTTTGGCGTGTCAATCTTAGGGATAGGGATACGTTCGAGGCTGGTAAGAAATGTGGGGAAGTTGTGGGCTCTGTGCCCGTCTCTCGGCGTGTCCCCGGGCGCCTCCAGACGTCCGCAGAGTCTCGAGGTGGCTCCCCCCCCCCCCTCCCTGCGATCTCCCGGGTCGCCCGCGGGGGCGCGAGGACAGCCGCGCGCCGCGCGTCGCGGACTGGGCCACAGGTGTTGCCGTTCTCCCTCGGGGGCAGCGTGAGGGGGGGGATGCCCATCGGTCGTCGAAAGCAGGTATTTTTTGGAGTCCCAGATTCCGACATATACTTTGAGTGCCTTTCTTATGCAATGATCGAGTGGCTTCACCTGTTCCGTCCTCCCAAGGAGGCGGACGGCACCCAATCCTTTTTGAACGCTTTCCTGCTTCATGTTTCTACCTACTTCTTCCGACCTGTGGGCAATCAGGCAAAAGGGCGGCGCGAGGGCGGAATGGCGCGAAGATGATCGTGCACCGCGGGGCGCGAGGAGCGAAGTGAGGTGGTGGCTTGGGCTAGCCCGCAGTGAGGCTTCCCATTGCACTTGGCATCGCTCGGACGTGTGCATTTTTCCTCGGCGAGGACCATCGAGGAGCATCCTGGATCATCGAGCAAAACAAACACGCACGAAACCGACAAATAAACGGGAAATGGACGTCCGAGCGACGGCAAGTGCAAGAGCGTCAGCACAAGGAGGCTTTCGGGTACGGATGGGGCCCAGTGCTCCTGATTCATTGCTCCCCCCCAAGAAAGGAGGGCAACTTATCACGTGGGGAAATTATCAAAGCTCTTCTGATCTCGGAAAGACAACAACGAGCCACCATCCACGCACATTGGAACGATGTATCCCGTCCAGCCTCTTGATGCAAATTTGTTCGGTTCCTCATTTAAGGCTCGCTGTTGTGATTGTACTCCTCGCCAAATTAGGGGATTTCTGCCAATCTATTCTGGCCCAAGCTATTCTGTATCGAATTATCTTCTGTCAAGAAACGCTTTTCTAGCTTATGTTATGGTGCTTGCTGAGCTGCGTGGGCTCATCCGATGCAGCAGGCGGAGCAGCGCCATAGTGGAAATACACAGTGGCACCGTGAAGGCGTTTAGAATCATATTGGAACAGCCTTCTTTAGTGAGCGAAGTGTTGCGTTTTTTGGGCGTAGCCTCCCTTGCTATTGTGAGTCGCAGCAACAGTTGCTTGCTGAATAGTGTGAAGGCTCGATTGCCACATGCATTGCAAGAGGTCTGCCCAAATGCTGAATTTGGCAGTGGCTCTCAATTTCTTCAACTGTTGCCTTTGGAATGTGGAGCTGTGCTTGTTCGAGAGATTGGCAGTGCTGAAGATTTAGACCAAATATTGACGAGTATTTGCGCATCTGCCAAGCCGAAGCACGTGATGAAATTGGCCGCGGGGTATCCGGGGGATCGCAGTCTAGTAGTTATTCAATCGCTTCGCTCATTCCACAGGCCCATATTGTGCCATCGTTGGCGCTTGCGTGTGCGCCATGCGGCGCTGCTGGTCGGCGCTGCTGCGGTTGTGGGTGAGAATCCTTATGGATGCTTCTCGGTGTCTCTTCGGTGGGTTCTCGGGGGGCTCCTGTTTAGCAGTTTTAGAGGCTCGTGGGCGCCTCCTGGGAGCGCCTTGGATGCTCTTAGGGCTCTCTTGGCGCCTCTTGGGGTCCAAGACGGGGGGGAGGCTCTGGGGGCGATTTGGAGGCCGAAGGCCCATTGAGAGCTCTTCGGGGCGATGTTGAAGCCGAACGCTCGAAATGTCCGTTGGGGCTCCCCCTCGAGGGGTCTTCCTGAAGCTGTCTTGGGGCTCTCCAGCGCCGTCTTGGGAGAAACTTGGGCTGTGTTGGAGTCCCCCTGGGCCGTTTGGGGGCTCTCTTGGAGGCTTCCTGGGCCGTCTTGGAGCGATCTTTGGGGCCTTCCTGGGCCGTCTTAGAGCGTCGGCGGCCGAAAAGATGATAACGCTGAAAACCTTCAAACCATTTGGAAATCGCTGATTGTTGCCTCTAGAGGGCTTCTTGGGAGTGGTCTTGGAGGCATCTTCGGGCGTCTTGGAGGCTGTTGAAACCGTCTGGTGACTATCTTGGGCATCTTGGAACGACTTCCGGTGACTCTGGGCCGTCTTAGACCACCTTGGGGGCCTCTTGAGACGCTCTCGAAGGCCCTGAAGGCAGCCCCCAGAAGTTCCGGCATCCGTGACAGGGACCGCCCGGGATTTGCATGGGGTGTTTTTCGTCCAGGGACCCCCCGTTGCAGCCGCGCGCGCACGAACCAGAAATATTATAAAGCTGCTGCCAGAGATTTAACACGCCGTGGGCCTTTTGGGCCGGCGAATTTCAGCTCTTTTGGCCGCTGCTCGTGTTCACGAGTCGCACGACTCAGTTCAATACCATGCATGCTTGGCACTTACCATCCTGATGTCCTCGGAGGATCGGTTCAAAGGTATTGTATGTGATTTGGGCGGAGCGCAAGCTCTGGTTTCGTTGATTCGTAGGCCAGGGAAAGTGCGCATTGCAGCACTGAGTGCACTTGAAGAGCTTAGTGACTTTGGTGAGGACCCTGGGGCATTTATGCTGCTGATGCCTGGGGTAAGAGGAGTGCGTAATGCGATGAAGAAGCGGGTCGGAAAGGCACTTCTGTCAAGTAAAGTGGTTATAGTCGTTAGTTCGATCCTCTCCGAATTGGGTCCTGATTATCTATCCGTTGCCATTAAGCTTCTCTACCGGTTAGTGGGCTGTTTGTTTGCGTTTCAAAGTCCCGATCGTGTTGTGAATTATGAGGATGTGCTTCGACACAGGGCATTCGTTGATCTTTTTGAGACGGTCCCCGTAGCCGTTCTGGCTGCAGAGCTCCAGCGTAGTGCCCATGGTCGTTTTAACGAACTGCACGCTCAAGTGCGATCTCTGATTTGCATCTTGCTGGAGACTATGCGAGATCTTTGCACCGACGTTCAATCGACTGACCACTTGTTTATCGGTAGCCGGGTCGTGGTTCGGGATGACGCGACCGGGTGGTTCTCTGGCACCATTGTGGCCAGAAAGTTTGATGAGTGGCTTGTGCGCCGTGATTATGATCCCACACAAAGCCGTGTCTGGAAGTTTGTCGAGGGAATAGGTGCCCCCTCTTCCCTCGTCCAGGCGATCGAACTTCTGTACAAGGCGGGTATCGTTCCTGCTCTGCTTGACATGTTAGAGACGCGGGATGCGATTACACGATGCCTCGCTCTGCGAGTTCTGCAACTGTTTTCTGATATGATCGCCTCTTCGGAAATGAGGTCGACCATGATAGAAGAAGATTGCATACCAAAACTGCTACATTTAAGAGATCACCCTAAGCAGTTTTCATGTGATAGCCTTGATGAGCATGGCTTGATATTGACTGTCTTGTACAATTTGTGCACTCAAAGCATCCAGGCGTGCGCGGTTATCCATCAGGCAGGTGGGGTGCCCATTTTGATCGACTGGCTTTGCCAGTCCTCAGAAAGAGAAACTGAGACGGTGGAGCGAATCTTGGACCTGCTGGCGTTTCTTCTCCATGGCGACAATCGTGCTCGAGCTGTGGCCTTCCAGTTTGGGATGGTTCCGAAACTGGTCTTGTTCATTCGAAGGAACTGCGAAGATGATAACCGTCTGTTCCTTGCCGTAGCCGCTGCGTGGGCATTGGCATACCTTGTGTTTGATGACGTGCCGGCGGGCCCAGTTCTCGCTCCAGGGGCCCACGAACCTATGACGGCGTTGATTGCAGATGGTGCCATATGTGTGTTCGAGCAGCTTGCGGCAAGTTCGGCTCAGGGAGACAGCTTCCCGGACGAGTTTTCAAAATTCTTGCAGGGCATGCGCGCGTTCCGTGGCATGCAGGGTGAGCTGGTGTCCAGAATGTGACAGCACCTCGAGGGTGAGGGAAGGGGTCCGTCACAGGGGGTTCTCAATGGGTGCTGAATGGCCCACCTAAGGCTTCTGCAGGAGTGCGACGCTCGAGCGTGGTCCGTTGGCGGTAGCACATCGCCCAGCCATCGCTGCCCGCCTTTCCAGGTCGCGGGCCATCGCCCAGAGTGCATGGAAAGTTTGGTGAGCATGTAATTATGGTTTTGCGTTTCCCCAACATGTGGATTCAAATCCTGAGTTGTGCGAAAAATGAAGTTCGTAGTTTCGGTCTGATCAAAAAGAATGGATGAGCCGGAGACTGCGAATTCACATTTTTTGCGTGTTCCAGCATGTGACTTCACATACTGCGTTTTCCCACAATGGGAAGTCACGTTCTTCGTTTTCCCCTAAATCACAGTATCCGCTCTGCAGCGCATGGGTTCTATTATGCTTGTGCCAGCGCCAACGGCTTGGCGATGCATTACCACCAACGGACAGCGTTCGGGCGTCACATTCCAGCCTCAATATTTCCACGCTCAGCGGATGCCAAGAATGCCAGATCATTTGAATATGACATAGATGAGCCATTCAGCACCCGTTGAAGCCCCCCTTTTAAGGACCCCTTCTTTCACCCTCCACTAGGTGCGCATGGCCCCGCTAGTGTTTAAGAGGAAGTTAGGAATGATACGCCGATGCCGACCGAATATGTACAAACGTTTGCCCTCCATAGGTTTCGCTTGTGATTCGCATGTTCATGCGTTTGGATAGTCCAGTACTTTCGTATGACCCCCCAGCCAGCTGAGCGAGATCCCATGTGGACAACAGCGAATTCTCCCGAGGGCATACCGGGGCCTTGCTGGGTCACCCCAGGCAATCTTGAGGGCGCACATGGGGCTTCGATTGAGCCACTACCTGCCGAAACCGATTTCCCCATTGTGGGGCTCGGACTCATGTGGGTCTGGTTTTCGGGCTCTCGATGACGACGTCGACCTCCTCGCCGTCCGTGGGTCTCACACGTACTCACGGACTCCTTAAGACTCATTCGAATTTACACACTCGCACACTCATTTTGAGGATGGCTCGAGCTGGGGCGTCGGCTGTGAGGGAATCGTGAGGAGGTCTCAGGCGGGAGCCGACTTGCTGTGGGGCCGCCAGATCATGTTAGGAATCCGAGCGGGTCATTCATATCTTGTAATTGTCGTTACGTTTGGGCTCCCGAGGCATGGATCTGGAGAAACTCTTGAGCGGATGGCATCGGAACTGAGTGAATTGTGAGGGAGTCTCAGGCGGGAGCTCCCTCCCTATGGGGCCGCCAGGTTATGTTAGCAACCCGAGTGGATCATACATCTTGTAATTGTCGTCACTTGTGGGTTCTCGATGCCTGGATCTGGAAGAAATCTCGAGCGGGAGCCTCGCCTGTGAGAGAACGGTGAGGAAGTCTCAGGCAGGAGCCTCCGACCTATGAGGCCTGCCAGGTCATGGTGGGAATCCGAGCGGGTCATCCATATCTTGTAGTTGTCGTCACTTTTGGGCTCCCGATGCGTGGATTTGGAGGGAATCTTGAGCGGGAGCCTCGCACGTGAGTGAATTGTGGGAAAGCCTCAGGCGTGAGCCCACTTGCTATGGGGCCGCCGCATCATGTCAGCAATCTGAGCATGTCATTCATACATCTTGTAATTCTCATCAGCTTTGGATTCCTGAGGCTTGGATCTTGAGGCAGTCTCGAGCGGGAGCATCGCATGCGAGTGCATTGTGAGGGAGTCTCAGGCGGGAGCTTCCTCCCTACAGTCAACCCGCATGGTAAGGATGGGCAACCTCCCCAAGGGTACACGCCGGTCGTTGAAAGTAGGTATTTCTGGACTCCCAGATCCCAATCTTCTTTGGGCGCCTTCCTACTTCAGGGAACGACGAGTTTCCTTCTTCCCTCTTCCTTAGGGGGCGGGCGGAAGCCCAATCTACTTCCAACGCCTTCCCACTTCATGTTCCTACCCACTTCTTCCGACCGGCGTGTACCCTTGCATCCTTGCCTCCTCGACCCATCCTTGGCCACTTGTGTTGGCCTCGCCCGGTCGAGGAGCTCCGAAGCGGTGTTCCAAGGTCTTTGCATCCTTACCGTGTTTCCTTGTGATACGGGTCGATTGCATGGGGCCGCCAGATCTGCTAGTCATCCGAGCGGGTCATCCATATCTTGTAGATGTCGTCAATTTTGAGCCGATGCGTGGATTTGGAGGAAGTCTCGAGCGGGAGCCTCGTCCTTGAATGCATTGTGAGGGTCTTTGAGGCGGGAGCCCCTGTCCTGTGGGGCCGCCAGATGGTGTTAGCAATCCGAGCGGGTCATCCATACCCTGTAGCGGGCGTCCGTCTTTGGCTCTGGGGTGGGCTTGGCGGCTTGATCTAGCGCTCCATCGGCCCGTGGGAGTTGTTTCAGTGACTTGGCCCGCGGGGGTGCCCCAACGGCTTCGAGATCTGGCCGTCGGAGGACGCGCCCAAGCCCGAGCGACGACGGCGCCGAGTAAAATCTACAGGCGCGCCCGTGCAAGGCGGGCGGCGGAGGAGGTGCACGAGGAGAAGGGACAGGAGGAGGAGGAGGAGGAGGAGGAGAAATAGGAGGAGGAAGAGGAGGAGCAAGGGGCATGAAGATGATGAGGCGGAAGAGGAGGAGGAGGAGGAGGAAGAGGAGGCCAGGCAGGGAGCGGGAGGAAGGCCTTCGCGAGAGCGACGAGGAAAGGGCGAGGGGGCGACAGGAATATGACCTCCAAGATCCAGAGGATTACGATGAGGGTCATTTCAAAACTACTCAGGATGATTATCGTGCGGGGTCCCACCGTCGGAGTTCCTTGATGACAGAAATTCAACAAACGAGGCGTACCCAACAATGTCTCCACGCGAGGCGCATATTCTAGACGCTTAGCGGAACCCCACCAGCCCATCCAGATACGATTCCCATACGAGTTGCCTTGATCAGGCGTGTGTCGGAGCATGCATTTGGAGAAAGGCTGGGTAAGACGTCGTACCCCAAGAGGGGGAGTATGGATGAGTAATCGGAGTAAGAGCAGGAGCAGGAGCAGGAGGAGGAGGAGGGAGAGGGGCTGGAGGGAGGAGGAAGAAGCATGAACGGGCGCATGATGATAATGGTTATGCTGAGGGTGATGATGATGATGACGACGATGATGACAATGATGATGAGGTTGCTGATGATGATAATGCTGATGCTGATGCTGATGTGGATGATACTGATGATGGTGGTGATGATGATGCTGACGATGATGACGATGATGACGATGATGATGATGATGACGATGCTGATGCTGATGATGATGATGCTGATGATGGTGATGATGATGATGATGGTGATGATGATGACAACGCTGACGATGGCGATGATGATGACGATGCTGCTGCTGATGCTGATGCAGATGCTGATGCTGACGATGACGATGACGATGATGATGACGACGATGATGATGATGATGGTGATGATGATGATGATGATGATGGTGGTGATTATGATTATGCTGATGCTGATGCTGATGCTGGTGATGATGATGATGATGATGATTATTATTATTATTATGACGATGCTGCTGCTGATGGTGATGATGAGGATGATGATGAGGAGGAGGAGGAGGAGGAGGAAGAGGATGGCACGCAGACATGGCCAGAGGTTCTTGCATGTCTCTCGGAATCTCTTCAAGTGTCTTTCGAGAGCTTCTTGGAGTCTTCCTGGAGCATCTTGAGGGTCGCTTGGCAGTCCCGGGGAGCTCTTGGGGCGTCTTGTTTGGCACTGGGGGGGCTCTTGGGGGCCTCTTGGGGGTCTCTGGGGATCCTCTTGGGGTCATCGTCGGAGTCTCTTGAGGGCCTCTTGGGGCCTCCTGGGCACTCCTTCGGGCCGTCTTGGGGCACGAGGGTTCCCCCCCAGGAGGCCAACATGTGGCCAGCACACCATGATGTCCGCCTTCTCGCCGAGGCCCTCTGGGGCCTCTTGGGTGCACCTGGGGGATTCTTGGGGCGTCTTGGGGCGTCTCTTGGGAGCCTCCTGGGGGCTTATGGGATGCTTCTAGGGCGCCTCTTAGAGCCTCCTGGGCGCCCCTCGTGGCTTTGGGGGGCCACTTTGGAGGGAATCGATCACAGGAGGGGGGGGTCGAATTAGCCCCCCCCCCCCCCAGAGGCCAAGGTGTGGCCAAGACCTTCGTAGGATCAGTGATGCGTGCCCCCTCGCCGAGGCTTCCTGGGGCGGCTCGGGGTGCCTCTGGGGGAGCCGCCTGGGACCGTCGTTTGGGGGTCTCTCGGGGGCATCTTGAGAGCCTCTTGAGGGCCTCTTTCAAGGGGCCCCAGGACACACACACACACACACACACACACATACATATATATGTATAGATACACACCAATAACTGGATTCGCCATAGTTTCCTATATTTTTTGGGTTTTTGCCTTCCCCCCCCACTTACAGTCGTGGCGCTGAAGAACGGGCCTGTCCAACAACAGTTTGGCAGGCCAGGTGGTGATACGTTTAGAGCTAATTCGTGTCCTTCGGCATCTGGTTCCACTTGTCTCCTCCTCCTCCTCCTCCTCCTCCGGGGCCAGTATTCGGCGACGCCCTATTGGCAACGAAACGTGCCGTGCCAAGCTCTGTGCCCCCCCCCAAAAAAAAAGTCGGGGCGCTGAAGAAGGAACCTTTTCCGTTTGGGAGGGGCTCCGTGCTCCTTAGTTGTTTTACAGTGTTCGTTGGGTTTTCCTGAGGTCTTCCATGGAAACTCGGAGTTTAACTTTGGGAAAACGGGGCCTCGTTCCTTACTGAGGGCCCCTTGCCCCAATTATAGGGCTTCCTGGGCACCTCTTGGGATCGTCTTGGGGCACCCTTGGGAGCGCCAGGGGCCATGTTGGAGCCATCTTGGAGAAGATCGGTCCACGGAGGGGGTCGCCGTAACTAGCGCTGCCCCCCCCACAGGAGGCCAAGTTGTGGGCAAGCCGCAGTGCAATCAATGATGTTGGCTTTTCCGTCGAGGTCATCTTGG